GAATGTCAACCTCAGAGATGGCCACTCCGTGGTCACAATAAACCAAGACCAAAACACAGAGTGAGCAGCACCTGCCCATCCTAGCTAATAGGAGTGACTGTTGCTTCTTCACCAATCACAGCGCTAGTCTCCCTCTAGTTGCGCCTTCCCTTCAGAGAAGAGTGGTGCACTTCAGTGGGTCAGTGCTTGGCAGCTACCAGAAGGGTCTCTGGTTGGAAGCCATGGAAGAAGTCTGCTTTCATAGAGATTACAGCCTAAAGTCTCTAAAGGGGCATTCTACTCTGTCCTATAGGGACATGGTGAGTTAGAAGCTACTTGGTGGTAAACAGGATTTTGATTTTGAAGGCTTTCTTACCCCCCAGTATTCAGACACCCAGTCATAGAAAGGTCCCTGGCAGCACCAGATGTCCCCGGCAATTCCACTCCCCAGTTCACTTTACTAAAGTCTGTAAATCCTTTCGAACGTCCTCTTATGGGGCTGTCAGGTAAGCACTGGACTACAAGGTCTGTGGTTCAAGCCCACCAGCTGCTCCCTGGGGGAAAGTTGAGGCTATTTGCTCCATGAAAGCCTTACAGCCTTGGAAGCCTTCTATCCCTATGTGTCCCTATGAGTGGGAATCAACTGCGGGGTAGGTTCTTTTGGTTTGCTTTGAACTTCCTCTTACGGAGTGGGCATGTCCTCCCTGGAGGCAGTAAGTAAGCAAGCTGCCTGTGCACTGCAGGGGATCCTGGGCGATCAGCAGCTGGAAGGCACTGGCAATTCAACTGGACCCTAAGAAGCTACTGTAATTGCTTACTTTATTTAAATCCTCAACTAATTTTGTAAGACTTTTTATTGTGAACCCGGTGAAGGTTTACAGGGGAGATCATCAGCTTTACATGGTTCATGCATGTTTGGTTTCAACTCATCCATTACAATCCCCTCTATGTACCAACCAATGTATCGTCACTTCAGCACTGTACTTACAGTTTCCATCCCTAACCCATCTGCACTCTGTCCTTGGGCAAATGCTGCCCTGTTGATCTGAAATGGTTGATTATATAGGCTTGTCTATTGTTTGGTTGAAAGCTGAGCAATGGAGTGAGTTCAATTCCAGGCCTGAATGGGCCTGGGGCCTTAATCTCATGGCTTACATCAGTCTCTATCCAACCATCAAGTCTGGTCTCTTTCATGATTTTGAGTTTTGTTCCACATTTTCTCCTGCTCTATCCATAACCTAATGTGTTTCTTTCAGAGCACTTGGTAGCGGTAGCTGGGTACCATCTAGTTCTTCTGGTCTCAGGCTTGTGAGACTGATGCGTGTCGTCCATTAGGCTGTTTTATGTTTTCGATTTTCAACTCCTTTTATCTTCCAATCAGGGAGATATTGATAATTAATTGCACCATAGAGGGCACTACTCAACCCAAAGGATTAGAATACAGTCTTTGTGAACTATGCTATGCTGATTGACCTTGGTGTCAATTGGTAGCCAATTGTTAAATAGGAACCTAATTTGCTATGTAACTTTCATATATATATATACATACATATTATTTTCTTCTGTTTAAGACTATTTCAAGGTATTAGTCTGTGGTTTATTTCTCTCCTTTCTACTTTAAGATATTATATATATACACACACATATACATATATATGTGTGTGTGTATATATATGTCTCTCCTTTCTACTTTAAGATTATATATATATATGGAAGCTCCAAAAAGTTCTTGGGAAAATGGAATTAAAAGATAATATGATTTGTCCATGAATTTTTAAGCCTATATTGTAAAAAGAATATGTTAAGAATAAAACTTTATCAAATTAAACATTTTACAGAGGTAGTGCATTTATGTAAGAAATCTTAGAAAAACCCAACACATTCTTT